AGGAAGGTGGTTAACCTACCCTGAGGGAAAAAATGCTAATTTTTCCCTTCTAATTCTCGGCGATCTTGCTCGGCCTCTGCACTGACCGCTCCACTCACTCTTCTCTGTCCCTTCCACGCAGGACCTCCCTGGGTTACATCCTTGGCCTTTGGCTCTTCCCACGATGAATATCCCAGGTGAGCTGACCCACCCAAGTGTCCGTCCCACCCCGAATAGCCCTCCTTCAACCCAGTCCTAGCACACACTGTAGAGGATATTGACTAAGAAGTTATTAATGAGATAGAATTTAGATACAGAAATTTTACAAGACCAAAGTCCTTAGTTGAGGAGGCCAAAGCCTATAGTTAGGGGGCCAAAGCCCAACCCTTCGGAAAACACGTAGGGATGCTGAGATTGAGAAAGACCAGAAAACGTACACGGGACTAAAGCCTTTGATGCAGATAAGAAAATTGAAGCAGAACGGGGATTGTTCTGGGGGCAGTTGCCCTTAGTACAGCTAGACCTAAATAATTGGAAAGTATGTAAATTAAAATCTTCAAGGATATTCTGTTAGATTAGTTAGTGCCTGGGGGACGTTCCCCATCTCGCCCTAGGCTACTCCTTTGAAATTCTTAGGGAGTTGGGCGCTTTGGTGATTATCTCATGGTTTCTTTTTGTAGGTCACATAGCTTAGTTTTATGACTCCTTTTGATGGTATATTGCTTGATCTGTTTTATTGCTTTGATCTATACATGCTTAAATGAAGTTTGTCACATAGCCAGTTTATATTTTCACTATGATTGATTAACCATCTGTTTTTCTTCTGTGACTTTCTTGTCTTTACAATAAAAGCTGAAGCAAAAACTGACTTGGGGCTGTGCCTTGCTACTCCTTCCTGGAAGGAGTCGTCTCGGAGCAGTCCCTTCAGGCTACCCATCGCTCTTAACGCTTGCGTCTCCGTCACTCTGTTAGAGGTGACAACACAGGCCTCTGCCACCAGCGGTACAAGGGCGTGAGCCTGGGAACCCTCCTTCCAGCACGTCACCTGGATCCAGCCTGATTCTGATTCTGCCAGGTGACCTGTGAATGTACTCGGCCGCCCTTCCTTGGGCACGGCTGTCATGCCCAGACTCTGGATCCTCCTGAGTGCATGGCCTGAGGTTAATTCACCAGTTTATTCAACTATTATCAGGGACCACCTGCCCCCCCCCGCCCCCCCCACACACACGCACAGACACACACACACACACACACCCTGGAAATCTACGGGCTTAGTGGAGAGGGTGGGCTATATTTAAGCCCCGTTGTAGGTCGCCGTTGGTCCCCGCGATCCAGCTTTTACAGTAAGGTAAAATTCCTGTGGGGCAGGCGCTTTGGGGGTGACGAGTCCGAGGATCCCAGGACGCGTCCAGGTCTTGACCCCAAATCTTGGCTCTTTGGATGGGAGCGGGCCTGGACGAGGGAGGGAAGCGTGTGCCTCCTGACATGGGCCACTGATACCTGTTCCCTACTCCGTGCACCCCACTCATTCCATTCACTCCTCTTCTGGCCTCTACCACTACCTCTACGTCGAGTGGTTTTCTCTCCTCTGGTGTACTGGGTGCGAATTCTGTTGTCGAATCCTGAGCAACCCTGGAGCGGTGCCGACAGTTGGCCGCCGCCCCATGACTCGCTCAGGGTCTCTCTGAGGTTTCCATAGGCTGCAAAGAGGACTCCAGAGATTTGGGAATGCTCCGCGGCAGCGGGCCACGCCTCTGCCAAGGCCGCCAGGGCGCGTTGTGCCCGGGAAGGCTGCGGAGGGAGGGTGCCCCCAGACCCCCACCAGGCCTGGTCCTGCACATCGGGCAGCGCCCGGTTGTTCAGAGAACTGAGGCTCATTTTGTACACCTCACTTCTGTCAACAGCGTAAATTAATAAGTAAAAGTCCTAAGGTCAGTATACATCAGTTGTGTAAATTTTTTGTTTAAAAGAAACTAAATGCGTTAAAAAAAAAAAAAAAAAAAAAAAAAAAAGACTGGAAGCGAATGTGACAAGGCTACAGCTTTTATTTTTTAATTTTATTATACCTCCCCCCCGCCAGGCTATAGTCTTTAGACCCGGCTGTCACGAATGTGGACGTTTGCACATTTCTTTACATAATTCCACAGAGAAGAGAAGCGAATACTTAGAATACCGAGGCTGTAGCAACCGAGAGGCCAAGGACACAGGCCGCCGCGGCAGAGCAGCAGACCCAAAGCTCAGCGCGCGTGGAGGGGGAAGACGAACGCCGCGTGGGCACGGAACGCGTCAATGTCGTCGTCTCTATCCTTCTGAGTGGATTCCACCCAGCAAAGGATGAGAGACTAGGGCGAGCCTTGGCCCAAGTGGCGACAGAAGAACGGAGAAACCCACCATGAGCTCGCGGAGGATCGCGGGACAGAGAGCGCACGGGGTCGGAGAACCAGTGCTCGAAACGAAAGGAGGTAATGGGTCTGGCTCTTCCGCAGATGCCGGGAAGGTAGAAGGAGAGTTGGGCGGCTCGTACCTGAGGGGCAAAGCGGAGCTAACTCCGCCAGGATCTGGCCTCCCAGGAAGGCTCACCTATTTTCGTATTTTCTGAAAGCGATGAAAAAAACGGGGGAAAACGCCTCCCCTAGGCCCCAGCGAGATTTGAACTCGCGACCCCTGGTTTACAAGACCAGTGCTCTAACCCCTGAGCTATGGAGCCGGCTGCACGCTTGTCTCCTGCGCACTAGTGGTTGACGCTGCCGCCGTGGCCGCGCAGCCGCAGACTGACAAATCAAGGAGTCGGGTAACGAAACCGGGGCTGTATTTTTCTGCCCAACAGCTGCGGGTCGTTGGAGAGATCAGTAATTGTAGGCGCTGCGACCCAGCCGTAAACCCTGGGAGAGAGCCCTGCGAGACAGGTCCGACGTTCCGCGCGCGCGGGGGCGTGCGGCGGGCGGGGCCGGTGCCTACGGCGGGCGGAACTGTGAGGAGCGCCGGGAACCTTAGATGGGGCGGGCTGGTGGTCAGAGGCGACGGCAGGACTGGGGAGCCGGGGCTTTGGCTTGTGGAGTTAGGATGAGGGTCCAGAGGTCAGGGCTACAGGAAGGGTTAGGGGAAGGGTGTCAATAGGACTGTCCTGCGGCGAATCCAGGTGCGAGTTGTTAAGGTGGGACCTGGAGTGGGCTGGGTAGTGAATGAGGGAGCAGTGGGGAGATCAGGTCAGGGTGTTTGGAGGTGCTGGACCCAAAAGGACTGGGTCAAGGCGGGTGTAGGTGGGGCGCTTAGCCCCTACCTCACCTTTGGGTGAATAAGGAAAAGGCAAACCTGACGGAATGCCTTGACTGAGAAACTAGTCTTCAGGGCCGCTAAAGGGCCCATGAGGTGGAGGACAGAGAATTAGGGCCCAGGTGAGGGACAGGATTCCTAGCCTGGCAAAGGACAGAAAGTGGTGCTGCATATGGTGGACCTTGGCCTGGTGGCCCAGCCTGCCCTATGGCCCCTGCCAGGCCAGCTGACTTGGGGCACAGGGTGGCCAGGCCAGAGGCAGGCCCCTGGGTGCCACCAGTCTGGATGCTGAGGAGCCCTGTGAGAGTCTGGTGGCAGGGGCCTGGGTTCTCAAGGCTCTGAAGCTCACAGAGATCTGGGACTAATAGGTGGGGTAAGAAAGGACATTGTTCTCAGAGAGCCAGGTGTCTCAGAGAGCTTATGACCCCAAAGGATGGCAAAGGAAAATGCACACACATACTCTCACACTAACATGTTACATCCAAGTCACTGCACTGCCCTGGTGACCATGAAAAGAACATCTTTTCCCCTCCACATGCAATTATTATGGTAACTGTTGTTACATCTCTTCAGATATACAGATATCTATGTAGTTATCTGCAAATACACATTCTCTGATAGATGCACAATTACATTCGCAAACATAAAAACTGAAAATATGCATGTGGACAGCCACCCCACAGCACCCAGCCTGGCCCTACAGGCACATATGGCACCTCCACTGGATGTCTCACCTTCTGTGACCTGTAGTATATGTTGTGATACTCAGCACAGTTATTAGATGGTACAAAAGGAATTGTGATAAAAATCAAAAAGCCATATAAACCAAAGTCATGCATTTGGATCCCTGTACTGGCCAACTGCACCCCACCCTGCCTCCCCACCAAAAAAGCTTTACAAAACCCAGATAACATTAGGGCTTGATGATAATATTAGGCAATTTAATTAGCAAATGAATTTTAGAAATGGGTTTTCCTTGTGGAAATCAGTGCTATTTAAATATGTAGATTGGCTACAGTGTTGTAGAGCTACTCTCCATTTATGAACAGTACACAGGACTCACCCTCTGGCCAGCAGTAGGCTGGCTTCTTAAATGGTCCTGTCCCCAGACCCCAGCCCATAGGATACAGTTGTTTTTGTTTTTTTTTTTTTTTTGGCACTGGCTAGTACAGGGATCCAACGGACACAGGATTCTGATTGCCTGGGCCTGGTGCTGTGTCCACTGGGTCTGCCTCTAGAGCAGTATCATGCCTGCCCCATGAGAACCCTGTATGCAAAGTGTGCTTGAAGCATCTCAAAGGACAGAGCACTGAAGCTCCATGACACTTGCTGATGGGATTATTTGACTGTCACTGTCCCTATGTGTCAACACATCTGTCTAAACAACCTATGCAGAACAGAATTAGGTCTGATACTGGCATTCATCTAGCCTAGTAGCCAGGTAGTGGGAAAAACCTGTGGTCCTTATCAAAATATGGGGTGATTAATCTTTAACAACAACAACAAATCAGTAATAAGGTAAGGCTAAATTGACCTAGGTCTGTTTGCAGCGCCTAACCCTATATACATGCTCATAAATGCCCTCTCCAAAATCCACACATTCCTTCCCACCACCGCACCCCAAATACACGTGCATATACTCCTTACACACATAAACACACATGCTCATTCACACTGGCAGAAAACCTTGCTTATACTTGTGCTTCTGCAGTCAGACCAGGGGAGATGAGAATGAGCCAAGCCACCCCTAGAGATGAGCTCACTGTCTATATTTCCATCTCCCCAACGTCCCACTACCACCCTCCTAGAAGCCGAGCCATCCAGAAGCTGGGGAACAATTAGCCAAGGGGATAAAGACGCTGGCCAGGTGAATGCCCCCCAGTGCCCAGGCTGAGCAGGCCTTGGCACCAGGGTGCTCTGCTATTGGCATGCATTTGGCAAGTTCCAGAAAGGACCTGTCAGGAGCATGTTAGTGCTCTGTGAATTTCTGTGCTGGTGCTAATTGCACCTGTAAAATTATAAGTGCCAACTTGTGTTTCAATGTTCCAGAACCTTTGATCTCCTTACCCAAGCAAGTCTGTACTTTGGCACTGGAAAATGGGGGGTTAGGTATCTGTGAGGACATGTGTTCATTGTCACTGTGGTTAAGGATGCACATGTCACTCTGCCATCAGGCTAAGGAGTACTGGAGAGTAGCAATGCCTATATGCTGTTGCCCTGGGCTTTTCTTTCATGTATGGGTCAACGGTCTCCTTCCAGTTCTGGCCCAACTGTTGTCTGAGCTGGGAGTACAGTGATTTTCCTGAGTAGATGACGTTGTCAGGCCAGCTGGATCCAGAGGTCTCCTAACCTTTCAAGGCAGAACTGGCAGCTGTCAAAAAGGTAAAGCAGAAGTGATAATGAGTCTGGCTGGCCCAAGCCCAAACCTGCCTTCTTGCAACTGAGGACAGCCACTGGACCAGAGTTTGAAATTGTTCTGTAGCAGTCTCTCTTGGGCAGCCTGGCACAGTAGTGTGGAGGGCATCATCCCTTCCCATGGGTAGCCAGGAAGAGGAAATATTTTCCCATAAGTGATCACCCCTTCCTGAGATGCTGGGCAGTCCTCCTCAAGGCCAGATTCGCAAGTAGGTGCCAGTGGAGCAGACAGAGAAAAGGGGGAACACACGCTCCTGGAAGTTGACTCGGAAGGTGTAGAGGTGGCGCATGTCCTCCACTGCATAGAAGGACACAGCCCCCACCTCCAGGTCCAAGGCCACCCGCACGCGTGACAGGTGCCCACAGCTAAGGGGTGTCCGCTCAGGGCTGGTCACAGCCCAGTACTGCCCACTGTTGAGCTGCAGCGCCCAGACTCCCTCTTCAGGGGTGAAGGGTGTGAGGCCCTTGCGGCGCACACTCTCGCGGGCCACGCCAAAGGCCCAGCCATCCTTGGAGCCCACTTCCACCTCCCAGTGGTGCCGCCCAGAGGAGAAGCCGCAGGATGCCAGGACGCGGGTGTTGGTATCGAAGCGGTGAGGGTGGTTGGGCAGGTCCTGGGCCCGCTGTCCAAGGCGCACACTCTTAAGATCCAGGGAGAGGATGAGGCGGGGATTGGCTGTATCCGGGTCCAAGGTGAGTTCCACTGTGGGGCAGAGATAAGGAAGAGATGTCCCCATGCAGGCCCCTTGCATAGCCCCCCTCTTCTCAGGGCCATGCTCCCGCTCTTCTTTGCAAACCTGTCTCCCCTTCTTCCAAGAATCCTTCCAGTGTCCAGTGCCAGTGCCCAATCAACCCTCAGCCCTCTGCTTCCCAGGTACTTTACTTTTTTTTCACTCAACAAGTACTTATTGAAATCAGACAAATGCAATGTGTGGACCTGATCTGGATCTCAATTCAAACAGTTCAACAAATCCAATTTAAAAGACATTTGGGAAAAAAATATAAAAATTTAAAAAAAGACAATTGGGGATATTTGATCATTAGATACCAGAAAAAATCATTCATTATTCTATATGTGATAATGGTTTTGTGGTTATGTTTTTTAAAAAGTCTATCTCTTTAGACATAACATACTAAGACATTTATGGAAATGATCTGTTATCTGTGATTTGCTTTAAAATAATCCAGTGGGGGTCTGGCTGATTAGCTCACTTGGTTAGAGTGTGGTACTGATAACACCAGGGTCAAGAGTTCAGATCTCATACTGGCCAGTCACCAAAAAATAAAACAAAACAGTGGGAAGAGGTGGATTATTTTATTTAATAATAAAAAATATTAGCCATGAATTGATAGTTGCTGAAGATGTATGATGGGTATGTAACATTCTCTCTGCTCTTCTCTCTACTTTTAAGTATGTTTGAAATTTCCCATAATAAAAAGTTAAAATATGCACACTTATTGTGAGCACTGTTCTAGGCCCTGGGAATACCACAGAGAACAAGATTGTAGAGTATCCCTGTCCTTCTGTAGTTTCCTTTCTAGCCGGGGGAGAAAAGAAGCTACAGGAGGACAGGAATACTGGATTGTAAATAAATAGCCAATAAAATGATAAATACAGAAGACAAGAGGAATCAAAAGAGCAGGCTGTCATTTCCACTAGAGTGGCCAGGGAAGACCTTCACTGAAAAGGTGTATTTGAACAGAGACATAAAGGAAGTGAGGAAACCAGCCATGCGGCTGTCTGTGGGAAACTTGTTTCAGGCAGCGTGGTAGCCAGTGCAGTGCAAGTGTGTGCTTGGTGCATCCAGCAGCAGAAAAGAGAGTGTGTGCCTGCAAAGAGTAAACCAGGGGGAGAGTATGCAGTGAGGCCAGATCCCTCAGGGCCACCCTGAGGACTCTGGCCTTTACTGAGTGAGAGATATTATCGCAGGGCTCTGAGCAGAGGATGGGCATGGTCTTACTCAGATGATTTAGATTCCACCCAGCTAAACTCTGACTTAACTCAGTCATCAGCATCAGAAATATGTACTCTCCCCTTGGTGCTGGATCTCACACACTCCAGAGCTCTGCAGGAGTGAGAACCACCTCCTTTCCTGTCTCCAGTCTCCCCTTGTTTCCCCTGTCCCCTGCACATAAACCCCATCCCCAGGAGAAGTCTCCATATGTCTAGGAGTGGGAACAGGGGAGAGAGGCTCATCCAAGTGATGAACAAGCCTTCCCCAATCTAAATATCCCAAGGCACAGGGCACTCCTGCTCCTGACTGCCCACAGCTTATAGGCCAACAGGCCTCACTGCCACCTGCAGGAGTCAGAACTGCCCAGAAGAGGACCAGGGGGAAAGGGGAGCAGACTGGCAGAGTTGCTGAGACAGCGGTGGAAGGAACCAACAGGTGCAAAGCTCAGAGAGACAGTCACCAGCAGGCATTAGGTTCTCTGTGTGGCCAAATAATCCTTACTATCACAGCCATCATCCCTACCTTTCTCCTCTTTCTCCAGCTCTTCACGAAGATCTTCTGAGGAGGAGAAACAAAGCAGAGTGTGCATGAATGACATGGCAGATGGTCTAGCAAGGACATCACCTCTTCCGACATTTATACACCAACCGACCAATCATTCCCCAGATACTCCAGAAGCCAAGAGCTGATGCACAGGCACTGAGCCAAGCATGGGGGGTGTGGACGGGGCTAGGGAAAACACCCAAGTATTTTGATCTACCTCTCTCCACTTCCCCCTCTTCTGCCCAGAGCTGGTCTGAACCTGAGCTATCCCTCCTCAGCCCTCTTTCTGCCCCAATACCCCTCCACCCTGTCTGTCCCTATGGGAAGCTACATGCCCTGGGAGTCCTGAATAGATTTGCCACTGCCACCTCCCCACACCAATCTGGCCTTGGCACACCCTTAGAACCCCTGAACTGCAAGAAACATACCATCCCTACCCACAGTGCATGGCCCGCCCCATACTCAGCCCCTACCTTTGAACTTCTTCAGCAACCCCTTTAAGACAAAGGTCTTGAGGGAAACATTCCAGACTTTATTCTTCATCTCAGAAGAGACAGTGGTTGGCTTGGCACCAGGCACATTGCTGCACCTGTAGGACAGGGACCCTGAAGAAGGCCCACAAACACTATCTGGGCTGTGACAATTCGAATGGTGAGGTCCTCTTGGCAAAGAGAGGTGGAAAAAGGAGAGTTAGACCTTGTGCGGGAATACTCATGGGCAAGACAGGCAGACATTTGTGTTGGAAGGTACCCATGTAAGGAAATGGGGGCATCAGGAGGTGAGCAATCAGGTGTGGGAAATGAAGAGAGACAGCTCAGTGGAAAAAGGGAAGAGCCAGCTTAGAAAGGCCCAAGGAACTGTTAGGTTCACTCACCTGCTTAGTGTGTTTTTAAATTCCTAGAAGGAAAGATGAAAGAAAACCAAATCAGCATCAGGTTTTAAGGAAACAAAACTTTCCCCTTGCCATGCCCCCAAGAGAATAAGCCCTCAGCAGGCGTACCATGCCCCACTATTGCATAGGCACTATTGGCAACGGTTCCAGCTGTGGCTGGCTCCTGGGTATCTCGTCAATGTGACTCTTACCACAGCTCTGCAAATGCTTGCTTTATTGCAGAATCATCACTGGAGCCATCTGGTGGGACTCAGTGTTACCTCTGCCCTCAAAACTATCTGAGACAAGTCACAGCCTTTATGCAACAACTGGTCACTCAGACCAGTGTCTTTGAATGACTGTTCTTGACCCATTTGTGGTTTGTGAAGTTTACCTATTGGATTGTGACTATTTTTTTTAAATGAAATAAAATAGAATAGAAAACATCAAAGTGCATCACATGTAACAAAGGTAATGAGTCTTCTGTCTCAAGCGTGTGTATACTGGAATACAATGTGAGATATATTATCATGGCTCATGGACAAGAAAGTTTTATCACATCCCTTTAGACTTCCAACTCCAGGAGAATCAGGGCACCTCTTTCCAGTCTCCTTCAGCTCTAGATCATGTGATTCTATTAAACAGGATCTGATACTGTTCTCTAGGAAAAATGACTCAAAGCCCTGGCTCAGCCATACTCACCTGGAGGAAGTCAAGGTCAGGCTTTCGAGCTGTCTCCTGGATATGGCTGCTGATCTCGGAGAGCTGGGTGATCTCACCTCCAAGCTGGGCCAGGTTCTCATTCAGCTTCTGTGTCACTTCCCGGGACAGCTCCTCCAGGCGGCCCAGAAGCCGGCCCTCCTGTTCCACCAGGAAGGCCCGCAGCGCCTGGAACTCTGCCCCCACCTTCTCTCGCTCCGCTGCCATCTGCTTCTGTCCCAGGAGAGGGAGAAATTAGGGAGGTGAGGGGACTTGGGTGTGGAGACATAACACTTGGACAGCAGCCTCTGAATCATCCCACAGGGCAGAGTTCCATCTTCCTCATGCTTTGGGGATCAGAGGCACACCCACATATGCAGGCTGTTCACACACTCTATTTTAAATATGCTAACACCGTGCAAGCTACAGCCTCAGCACATGCTTTGTTCTTCTCCCTGCCACAGATGTGTTCCTGTGTCTCTTTGGGCCTGGGATCTATCACGTAGACTAGGGCAACGTCAAATTTCCCCCAGAACTACCCAGGCTGCAGTTTCCTCATTTGAAAAGTGGGAGTGATATTTTAGTGCCTCTTGGGGCCACCATAAAGATTAAACTAAGGTTGGTTTTTCTTCCCCACATACATTTATTTCATTACCATCAAACTTTCACTCTTCACTCTACTTCTTTTTATTTTTATTTATTTATTTGGCAACTTGACCTAGATGTTATCAGCTCCATGCTGTACCAAGTGAGCTAACCACCCAGCCCTACTTCTTTTTTTTTTTTTAAAGATGACCGGTAAGGGGATCTTAACCCTTGACTTGGTGTTGTCAGCACCACGCTCACCCAGTGAGCTAACCGGCCATCCCTGTATGGGATCTGAACCCGTGGCCTTGGTGTTATCAGCACCACACTCTCCTGAGTGAGCCATGGCTGGCCCTGTGGGCATTTTCAAATAAAAGTATTCATTTTCCTTTTTATCATGAGGCAATAGTTGTACATACTCTATCTTAGTTGTTTCACTAAGCAGGTATTTTGTAATTATAAAGACTGTGTGGGCCAAAGTGGGGGTGGATGTGTAGGTGTTGGAAGAGGACAGAGGTGGAAGGAACTAAGCAATGTTATGGGGAGTTAGGTCAGAGACAGAGAAGGAAGGGCCCATGCTCGGGAAGGGCCTCTGGGTCATGGATGTAAAATAATGGCTGAAGAGCTATACACTTCTTTCTCCAGCAGAAGAGGAATGAAGACCTGGGAGTTGGGGGATGGGGTGAGCTCTTCCTTGTGGAGTGAAGTGAATGATCAGATAGAAGGGTCTGGGATGCACATTGGATGCAGGTGTAATAGATGCAGTTGAGGGTCAGGAAAGGACACTAGGGTATCTGAATTCAAGGTTTTTTCCCTGTCCCCTCCTGACCCCGAGGATAGGAGGGTTCTCAAGTTCCTCTTCCTCCAATTCCCAACTCCAAAACTGAATAACCCTGCCCTAACAGGCCCTAGTAGATCCTTTTATTTTTTCATCACCTATGAGGGTACTTCGCAAAATTTGTGGAAAAATAGAACTAAAAGATAATACAAATCTTTCTATGAACTTTTTGAAGTTTCCTCATATTTATTGAGCTAGGAAGTGAACTTGTCAGGTATAAAATAACAGTCAGTTACCCACGTTTGCCCAACTTAACCCAAATGAGCCCCATTTCACTTTCCTGTTCCACTCTAAGAGCGAGGTGGTATAACAGAAGGTCAAAGTTTCAGATCCCGGTACCTGCCAGCTGCCAGAAAAAAAAGATATTAACCCAACCAGATGGTAGGGGGAGTGGATGGTGCTGGGTAACCTCAGCTGCACAACAAGGGCTGCGGAAAACCTGGTCCCCAAACCTCCTCAGAATATGAATGTGTTCAATTACAAGAGGTTTCCATAGGCCCGAACTGAACTGGTGTGTTATGTAATATTAGAGTGACTATACATCCTGATTCACTGGGACAGTTCCAGTTTAAGCCAGCTGTCCTACAATGATTATTTTAGCACTCTCTTTTACTGTCAAAAGTTCTGGTTTGTTTTCCTAGAAAGATTTGTATTATCTTTCAACTCCTTTTGGTGGGTACAGGGATCCAAACTGTGACTTTAGTGTTACAACACTGCACTCTAACCAACTGAGCTAACCTGCCAGCTCCAGGAACTTTTTAAAGTATCCTCATATAATATGCACCCTATTGTCTTTCTAAAATCCACCGTGCTGTTTCACAGGCACACACTCCAACAGCACACACACAGCCCTGGCGGTGGGTGGCCCTCTGTTGTACCCCGCAGGAGGCCCACATGGTTGGGGGGCCGGGGGTAGTGCCCTGCTCACCAGGAGCTCCTTGCTCTCCTTCTCTTCGGTGGACCGGAACACCTCATAGTCGTCCAGTTCCTTCTTCAAGACCCTCAGCCTGGACTCCAGGAGCTCCTGAGGGTGAGAAGGGATACTGTGGGAAGAGAATTCTGGAAACCCGCACATGTGCCTTCCTGGAGCTATCCAGAAGAAAGGGAAGGTCCTGCCCATTCAGGAGGAGGACGGTAGAAGTCATCCCTGGACGTCAGGATGGATATAATCTGTGCAGGCTACACCCATGGGGACAGAGTAACTGCAGGGTAACTTCAAAAGCCCTGGGTCTTGGGCCGGCCTGTGGCTCACTCGGGAGAGTGCGGTGCTCATAATACCAAGGCCACGGGTTCGGATCCCATATAGGGATGGCCAGTTCACTCAGGAGAGTGTGGTGCTGACAACACCAAGTCAAGGGTTAAGATCCCCTTACCGGTCATCTTTAAAAAAAAAAAAAAAAAAAAAAAAAAGCCCTGGGTCTTCGCTTCCGGAAGAACATCTGCTGCACAATCCAGGCTGAAAAACAAGCCCCCAACAACCCAACCCACCCGTCCTCTCCTCTTCTCTCCTCCCCCCACCAGAAAGCCCTTTGGGTGGGAGGGTCAGAGCAGGGTAGCGGAGCAAAGAAGACTGAGGACTGTGTACCCGAGGCCGCCTCACGCACCACCGCTGAGGCTCTAGCAAGGGGGCAGCACAGAGAGAGGCGCCCGTTATCGGCAGTCTTGGCACAGCCCAGAAGGCTCGAAGGCTCTCTACTTAATCCAGAAGCCCCCTACCCCCACCTTTTGGGAAGGTCGTCCCACTCGGCTCCACGAGGTGGGGACTTTGAGCAGAGCCACGCTTCAAGGAAGGAGATAAGAGTGGGGGCAGCGGGTATGTGGGGGTGACAGAGTCTTCCCGCGAATGAAGAGCTGCAATAACGCAGACGCGGCTAGAAGCCAGGGACAGACAGAAAGAAAATTGCCAAGTCCGTGGGGGGCGTCGCGCAGGTGGCCCAGTAGCCAGCCCAGACGGAAATGCGCTGTGTGGGGGCGGGGGAGGTGGTGTGGGGTGACAGAGGCAGAGCCGCAGTCAGCCCGGGAAGCAGCGCTGGGCAGCCTGGGATAGGGGAAAGGAGGCAGGGGCTCACCTGGGCCTCCTGCCTGCCTGTCTGCCGTCTGCACCGCGTGCGCGCGAGGGGCGGGCCGGGGCGGGAGCTCCCAGGGACCGTCAGGGTACGGCCTGCGCTCACCTTGGCCTCCTGCACCGCCTCATCGAGCGGCAGCACAGCATGAGCGCGGTGCTCGCGGGCGCGGTCGCACACTACGCAAATGGCTCGTCCGTCGTCCTGGCAGTACAGCTTGAGCGGTTCGCCGTGCTGCGCGCACCGGACGGCCGCCTCCGGGGCTGCAGCCGCCCGGGTCCTGCGCTCTCCCGGAGCGGCAGCGGGCAGGCTGAAGCGCTGCAACAGCGCGGCCACGGCGGCCAGCTGCAGGTTGGGCCGCAG